TTGTTTAAAATTTTTAAGGATTATGTCATGTATACATTTCCATACGTAGAAATTATGAACGTTTTTTTCAATAAAATTTTTTTATATATTATTTTAAAAATATTTGGGGTCAAACGACTGTTCTGTGCTTTTCAAATTTCCATTCGTAAATTTACTTTTTCATTAACGCTATCATTGCATTACGTGCTTGAAAGCAATAAAGAATTTTAAACGATTTTTGAAGTATTAAGAAGTTAATGAACAAAAATTTAAAAATGGGAAAAAAATTTGTAAAAAATACATTATCCATCGAAAAAAATTTATTTCTTTACAAAATAATGTCCTAAGTATAATGTATTTACAAAAACAGGTGAAAGCTTTTCTAATTAATTAATGTCATACTTTTTTACATTTTTTTTTATAATTCAAAGCAGATTTTGTATGAAACCGGGTACTGTTTTACAAAAAAAAAAAAAAAAACTGGTGATTTACTTTCTACAAAGAGTCCTGTTTATAACTAATGAAACAAATCCCGCCGTAAAGATTTAATTTCTCGAAATTTCATGAAAATATGTAAGTGGGTGGAAATTTCTTTTTAAGAAGATTTTCTAAAAAGAAAAATTTGAAAAATAATTTCATTCATTTGTGAAGAAATTCTGAAAGTTTCATTAAAATCCGACAATTATTTGATTTTTGTAAGAATTTTCTAATTAACGTGTGTTTTCCCCGGGAAAAGCGCAAAACAAAACAAACCTTTTTTTTTTATTTTATCGCGCTGTCGTAAATAAAAACAAAATCTACGTGCTAGAAAGGAGTAAAAAATTTCAAAAAATAATCAAAAAATACTTTGGTCTTTCCTCTTCATAACAACATAAACATATTGATACAAAACTTTGTTTTCATTGATTTATGGACCTTTTTTTCATCGTGATATGCTGCTTTTTTACGTGACCAAATGGAGGGCCCTAATATAATATCCGACATCCTATATGGCAGTAAATCTACTCACAAGTGTCGACGAGACTTGTGGTGACATTTTTTTTTAAAGCAAATCACCCCAAGCAACGCGGGAGGGCCACTAGCGTGCAAGGGGTTGCAGAAAACGAGAGTAAAAAGGAGTGTTTGGGAAAAGGATAAAAAGAAGGACAGAGATGGAGGTCAATGCATCAGAAGATGTCGATTGACATTACATTGGAATATTTGAAGATTATAGCTATCAGGGAAGCAAGTGATAGGAAGGGAGTTCCACTGGCGGTAAGTGCTGGATAAGAAGCTGTTGGAGTAGAAGAAATGGATACATTTAGTCTTTTATACAATAATGTGTTTCTACAGAAAATTGCTGAGGATGCCGTGGACCGAACGAAGAAGATTTAAAGAAAATGGAAACAAAAACGACACATACTTGACACCAGGAAAAGTCAGTTGGAATTTCTAAGGCACATAATGAGGAAAGAGGGATTGGGAATTTTGATGCTCAAAAGGAGGATTGAAGACAAGAGAGAAGGGGGAAGGCAACACATAACCTACCTAGAGAGCTCGAATAAATGGATGGCGGAATAAGGTTTAGGAACGATAAGAAAAAGACATCATTTGAGATACAAAGGACAGGAAATTGTGGAGACCAATAATCGTCAACGTCCTGAAGGGACACGGCATATAGAAGAAGAAAATATATAAATATAGAATGACAGGCAGACATTAAATCATTGCGATAGATAGATAGATAGATAGTTAGATAGATAGATAGATATGAACAGGCTGAGATAGATAGATAGATAGATAGATAGATAGATAGATAGATAGATAGATAGATAGATAGATATGAACAGGCTGGGATAGACAGAAATGAAGAGACTGAGATAGATAGATAGATAGATAGATAGATAGATAGATAGATAGATATGAAGAGACTGGGATAGATACGAATGAAGACACTAAGATGGATATATACATCAATAGATATGAATAGACGGGGATAGATAGATAGATAGATAGATAGATAGATAGATAGATAGATAGATAGATAGATAGATAGATAGATATGAACAGGCTGGGATAGATAGAAATGAAGAGACTGAGATAGATAGATAGATAGATAGATAGATAGATAGATAGATAGATAGATAGAAATGAAGAGACTGAGATAGATAGATAGATAGATAGATAGATAGATAGATAGATAGATAGATAGATAGATAGATAGATAGATATGAAGTAACGGCGATAGATACGAATGAAGACACTAAGATAGATAGATATATACATCAATAGATATGAATAGACTGGGATAGATAGATAGATAGATAGATAGATAGATAGATATGAAGTAACGGGGATAGATACGAATGAAGACACTAAGATAGATAGATATATACATCAATAGATATGAATAGACTGGGATAGATAGATAGATAGATAGATAGATAGATAGATAGATAGATAGATAGATAGATAATGGAGAGGCTGGGATAGAAAGATTGTAAAGTTAAATTGATGAAAAGTCTAAAGGCGCCTACGTCATAAGTTCAATCAATGCTGAAAATCCTGCTTCAGTCATCCAAATTTTGCCTATTGTTTTCTTAAACACCTCTCCTCTTCACGAACGCATCCTAATATCGGGCAAAATGCTTTGTACCTCATAGACAATATACGTAAAACTTACATTTCATCCTCACCAATATATGAGTCCGATCCACTGCGACGTAAAGAGTTCAATAGGAAAGCCTCCAGCAATTGTCTAGTGAAAGAGATGCATGGACAGACACTTGACATCGGAATCAATGCAGCTACAGATTTTCTTGAAAGTTCGCCAGCAATATAGCAACGGTTTTCATCGTTTTTTAAAACCATATCTCCAATTTATTATATTTTTTTGTTGGCAATGTGCCAGAGAAAATTATTAGGGTCTGTGGTCCGAGAACGGCAACAAAGATGGCTTCCACCAATATTTATTATTGATATTCATTTTCAAATGCTTTGCGCTTCGTGTCTGGCTTGAAAATTTCTCTGCGATAATGGGGTGGTTAAAAAGCTACGCTCGCAAGCCGTTCTTTTGCATGTATAATCTTTACTGACTGATGATAGATTTTAAGGGAGACACGGGGGCGTTGTGCCATTCCGAAGAAACCATACAATCTTTATTAAATCCTAAAATATTGATTATTTTCCGTTCATTTCGTTCCGTTTCTTTCTTTCTTTCTTTCTTTCTCAGTATGTTCTTATCTATCTATCTATCTATCTATCTATCTATCTATCTATCTCGGTCTGTGCATATCCTTCTATCTAGCTAGCTAGATAGCTCGCTAGCGATGTCAGTCTGTTCATATCTATCTATCTATCTATCTATCTATCTATCTATCTATCTATCTATCTCAGTCTTTTCACATCTATCTATCTATCTATCTATCTATCTATCTATCTATCTATCTATCTCGGTCTGTGCATATACTTCTATCTATCTAGCTAGATAGCTCGCTAGCGATATCAGTCTGTGTCGGCTCCAGGTATTAGCCCAAATCTTCCCACAAGGCGGGATGTAGCAAAAGGCGTGATGTGCCACAATGCCGGTTTTTATGTGGGACGATTCCTTGCCCTTTGGCTCGGGAAAAATTTACCTGTGACCCCGAATACACAGGGTCGGGTTTGTCTACCCCACCAGACATGACTCCTCATACTCATAGCCTCTTCTGGGTTCCTCTCTTCCCAAAGGCATAGAGTTTGAAAAGCCTGCCGTGAGCCTAGCAGTGAATTGCCTAACTCGAATCTATGTATATATCTATCTTAGTCTCTTCATTTGTATCTATCCCGTCTCTTCATATCTATCTATCTATCTATCTATCTATCTATCTATCTATCTATCTCGCTCGCAGCCTGGCTGACTGGTTGAGTTATGAGTAGATCGTTTTTGCTCAATCTATTTTTTCGGCCTCAGTATCCATATATGCCAGTATCTATTTCCAGAATATTGGGCAAGAAGTAAAAAGTAGGAGAAAGTAAAAAAAGAAAGCAAAATAATGAAAGACAATGACTGAATTCCACGTAAACAATGCGAATAGGAAGAAATTCTTGTGCAGAAAAAAGCATGAAGAAAAATGAGAGATTGAATGAAGAAAAAAATTAGGAAATTGTATGGAATGGGAATTTCTTTTCCACTAATTTTAACCCTTTACAAGCCAGAGAATTTGACAAGCCTGTTGTCTGCCTGGCAGCTAACAGCTTGGCTCCAAACGGCTTCTGGTATCTATGAAACTTCCGGACACGGCGGGATGTGACATAAGGACGGGTTTTATGCGGGTCGTAGGTGCGGATAACAATTCTCCTGTGAGCCCGCATACATATGGTCGCATTTGTCTATCTCCGTAGACGAGACTGTCCGTAGGCATTGCTTCGTCTGGGTTCTTCTCTGCTAGAAGGCAGAAGGTTCGACAAGTCTATCGCAAGCTTTGTAAGGAACTGCCGTGCTCGAAACGGCTCCTGGTATTAGACCAAATCTTCCCACAAGGCGTGATGTGCCACAATGCCGGTTTTTATGTGGGGCCATTCCGTGCCATTTGGCTCGGGAAAAATTCAACTGTGACCCCGAATACACAGGGTCGGGTTTGTCTACCTCCCCAGACGAGACTGCTCATAGGCATAGCCTCTTCTGAGTTCCTCTCTGTCCAAAGGAAGAGAATTTGAGCCTAGCAGTGAATTGCCTAACTCGAAAAGGCTTCTGGTATTTACTAAAACTCCCCACAAAGCAGGAAGTGGCATGAGGCCGGTTTTTATGTAAGGCAATTCTTAGACCCCGCATAGACGTGGTCGGCTTTGTCTACCCCGCCAGATGAAACTCTGCCTGTAGGTAGGGCTTCGTCTGGGCTCCTCTCTGCCTGAAGGAAGAGAGCTGGACAAGTCAGCCGCGAGCCAAACAGCAGACTGCTTGACTGCAAACAGCTTCTGGTATCTTCCAAACCTCCCCACAAGGCAGGATGTGACACAAGGATGGTTTTTATGCCGAATCTCCGTATAAATTGGGTCTATCACCCCAGATTAGACTCTGCTCAATAAGCACAACCTCGTCTGGGTTTGTCTCTGCCCAAAGGCAGAGAGTTAGACGTGTCAGCCGCGAGCCAGGCAGCGAACTGATTGACTCGAAAGAATTAATTTACTTGACACTCCACTGAGAAAGGTTTAACACAAGGTCACTTTTTTAATGTGGGTCTCGAGCGTCTTCACTCGGGCTGTTGGTCTTAGCTGGTCATAGCTTGTTCAAGCTGGTCTGAACTGGTCTAAGCTAGTCAAAGCTCGTCTTAGCTGGTCCTAAGGTGGTCAGAGCCGGTCCAAGCTAATCATAGCGCAAGGACGGATTCCTGTGACCGGTAAGTATGAGAATGTGTATGCCACTCGAGAGAGCGGTTTACGCACTGCTTGGCTCCAAAAGGTTTCTTCTATCATTGACCTGGAGTTTTTTTTATTATAGTGTTGTAGATTCCGTGAATGGAATCCTGCACAAATCAATAAACAACGCCAGAAATTGAGATAGAAAAATAAGTGTGTTAAACGTAAGAATACAGACTTGAAGTGAAGATTAGTAGTCCAGGAATGCGGGTTAGTAGACAGTATATGTACAAGTGTCTGTAAGTAAAGCCGTAATCATCTCTCTCTCTCTCTCTCTCTCTCTCCCTGGACTCTTGTATATCTCTATGAGAACACCCTGTGTCTGTCTCCGTATCTCTCAACCTGTCTCAACATATCTCAACGTATCTCAACACAGCAGGTATTCCCTCTTTCAGTATAAGTATACTTTGGACGAGTCCATCTTATGTAAAAAGGAGAGAGCCCCACAACATATAGTTATGGACTAGTTCATATAGTCAACTGGGGTGTACTATTTACTCTACAACATCCACGCTTTTGAGATTAATACTTTTATAAATATATATTTTTCTATTAGTATTAGTATTAGTATCTCCCCTCCTATTTTTGGAGAGTTCGCCAACGTACTTGATTTTGTAGCATTTCTGTCTCGGATCAACTTTTTGTTCTTCAGTACGTTTTTCTTTTTTCTGGAACTTGTCATTGTAAGGTCCCTCACTTGTTGGCACATCATATAGCTACGCTCCATTGCCATCTTTATATGCTCTAAATATCACTCTATCGTGGGTGCAGTATATTTTGAATGGTCATTTTTTTTCTATTACACCAATTCTTTCGAGTCTGTTCAACTCTTCGTTGACTTGTTCCAATGCTGCAAATGACACGCTTCGTCTTGGCTTAAATCCCGGCGTCGAACATTTTATTCACATGAAAATCTATCTTAAATTTTGAACACCGACCCAATTCATTTGACCAAACATCTGAAAAACATTTTTTTTTAATTTTTCCTTAAGATTTTCGCTCTGATTTTTTAAATTGGTCGCTTGTCTACTTACGTTTATACAATAAACGTTTATCGGCAAATCCCAAATTTCAAATAGTTCCATCCAGTCAGTACCGAATATATTCGTAGCATTTTTAAGTACAGAAGCTTTAGTTTTTACATGCTTATTACGGAATGCGATATTAGAAGTCCATTCCCCCAAAAATTCTCATTAGAAACTGAAATCGCGACATTGGATGTCCTTTTTAATAAAGGCTTTCCAATTTCCTTCTATGTGTTTTCACTGATTATTGAAATATCACTACCAAGTATCCAGTAGCATATTCACACCTAAATTATTTTTTTTCGCATTCACAAATTTACTTTTGTTCTCTGAAATGATTGTTCTGTCGCAATGCTGTGTACAAATTTCTTTCTGTGAGAAAGTTTTCTTGGTTTGGTTTTACAGTGTGACTTTATATGTCTTCCTTTACCACGCTTGTAACATTCTACATTTTTAAATTGATATTTTTTTCTAACATACCATTTACCACATCTGAATCAAGTATTTATTCGCCATTTTGCACATTTGACCTTTTGTTTGTACAAACCACGGCGTAGCCCTCCTTTCCCTCATCATCTGTACATTGGACTCGGGAGGGGAAGCAAGAACGCTGTTTTCTGCTTATTCGTTTGAAATTTGGTATGAAACGCTTACATGATCAGTGTCCATCTCTTCACATCGGTACTTGTATATGTACAGAACACAGTGTAGGAAAATATTAAATAGACTGGAGCTTTCATTTCGTCTTTGACGTAAACCTGATGAGGTCTGAAATGATTTGGTATTGGGGTCCTCGCTATATATGTACGACCGATATAATCCTTCTGTAAGGTGTAGACATTCAGTGCTTGGAAACCACTTGTAATAGATTAGAAGAGAAAGTCTCAGTTTGTGTAGTTGTGTACGCCTGTGAGGCCAATACAGTCGGTATGCAATATTCTGTTGGAGAGATATGTAATTTCTGAGATCGGTTTGATGATCTTATTACACTCGTTACCTAAACGAAAACCAAATTACGTAGTCATGACTTGACTTTCATAAAACGGTGAGATTCTATTTAAACCAATAAACATTATTAATTTCACTGTGATGGATTCAATTCAGATACCTCTGTACGTAT